CAGGAGGTATTTGATGGAGTCATGCGGTATTTTAGTAGTGACAACCATGCGGCAATGTTTCAGCTGTCTGCAGGGTTCCCCACTGACAGCTGAATGTAAAAGAATTGCCGGCAATTAAAAAAATAATCAAAAAACAGCATGGGGTCCCCCCTCCCATCCATACCAAGCCCTTCAGGTCTGGTATGGATTTTGAGGGAACTCCCACACCCAAATTTTTATAAAAAATGGCTTGGGGGTCCCCCCCAAATCTACACCAGACCCTTATCGAGCATGCAGCCCAGCAGGTCAGGAAAGGGGGGACAAGCCCCCCCCTCCTGAACCAAACCAGGCCACATGCCCTCAACATGGGGGGTCCTTTGGGGCAGGAGGGGTTCCCCCCAAAAGCACCTTGTCCCCATGTTGATGGGGACAAGGGCCCCTTCTCTACAACCCTGGCCAGTGGTTTTGGGGGTCTGCAGGCAGGGGGCTTATCAGAATCTGGAAGGCCCCTTTAACAAGGGAGACCCGAGATCCCCCCCCCCCCCCATGTGAAGGAGTATGGGGTACATGGTACCGCTACACATTCACAAAAAAACAAAAAGTGTAGTGTGGAAAAAAAGACAGGACAGGGTCTGTGACAAGTCCTCTATTAAAGGAAAAACTAAAAGAGAATGTCCCCCGCAGTAGATCCAACACCAATCACGATGTCCGCCATCACCGCCACTGCCGCTGCAGCACCAGTAAAATTTAAAAAAAGGCTCTGTTTCAGATGATGGGAGCCCCCCTGCCCCAGCACCCCCCCCATGTTGAGGGCATGTGGCCTGATATGGCACAGGGGGGGGGCACTCGCTCGTCCCCCCTCCCCTTTCCTGACCTGCCGGGCTGCATGCTAGGATAAGGGTCTGGTATGGATTCTGTGGGGCCCCCACACCATTTTTTTTCATTTTGGCATGGGAGTTCTGACACTGGGGGAAACTGACTTGGTGTCACTGACATCCCCAGTGACACCAATACAGTGATCAGTGCTAAAAAAAAAAGCACTGACACTGTGCTAATGACACTGGGCAGGAAGGGGTTAACATGAGGGACGATCAAAGGGTTAGCTGTGTGCTGGGACTGTTTTACTAGGGTGGGGGGGGGGGTCAAAGGATGCATTGAGGTGCTGGGACAATAAAGGGAACTCTTGGACAGATTGTCGGTGACAACTGCCTGCTGAGGTCTAATTAACACAAAACTAAAAGAAGGTCGTAGCTCTGTTGAGGGGGTTAGAAGGAAGTTGGGGGGGCAGAGAGGAAATTATGGAGATCTGCACTGACCTTGGGACCATTGAGGGACCAGTAATGGTAGCTGTACTGTAGATCTGCTTCATTGCCGGGTTCAGCTCCATTACCACCACCAAGTGATCTTCCATATACCAGCAAAGACAAGGGTGAAGCTCAAAATCTCATTCAGTCATCTTCCATGAGAACATGCCCCCCCCTCTGCCTTGTCCCACACCATCCCCCATCCTGTGTCAGCGTGCAGGGGGGCGCAGGAGGATATTCTAGTCTGCTGGTCTATATTAAGTAGGGTGGGAGAGGAGGAGGGGGAGGGGTATTAGGATCCATGTCATGTATGTCAGCTGTCTGCATCATTATTGGCCCCAGACCTGCATTCCGGACAGTTCAGTGTACAGACAGAGGGGGGATTTACTAAATACAACTAGGCTGTTCACTTTACACTTTTCACAGAACTTTCCCCCGGAGCTTAGTGAATGCGGTGAAATCTGACTTTACAAAGAATATCCAATCACATGCAAAGAAAATGTAAAAAAATGCAATTTTGCTTCCACATGATTGGCTGATGGAAGTCAGGAGAGCTTCACCTCATTACCCGACCCCTCGTCTACTAAGGTACATTTCTTATCCTTCTGGTATTCAAGGGGTTAAACACAAATGAGGTTTGTATTATTATTTCAGCCAGCGGTCATGTAAAATTGATCCGGGCAGCTGTAGAAGCAGCCAATCACTTTACAGTACAGAGAATGTGCCGCCCCTCCCCCCTGCTGGTGCCTGCCTGCTGTTTCCTCCAGGATGTCCAGGACGGAGGAACATCGGTAAACCACTTCAGCTTACTAAGCAGGAGGAGCTTGGAGAGGATCTGATCCCCCGATCTCATCTGTGATGACTGAACCCCGAAATGACAAACATTCTGTCACTTCCAGGTTCAGAGCCGCCATTCCCGACTGCTGTAGTTGGGTTAGTAGCAGTGGAGGGGCAGGGGAGACATTGGGGGTCTAATAGACCCCTGAGGTCTTCATGAAGAGGTCTTGGGTTAGTAGCAGAGGAGGGCAGGGGAGAGGATAGACCCCTGAGGTCTTCATGATGAGGTCTTGGGGGTCTGGAATAGATTGGGGGTCTAATAGACTCCTGAGGTCTTCATGAAGAGGTCTTGGGTTAGTAGCAGTGGAGGGCAGGGGAGACATTGGGGGTCTAATAGACTCCTGAGGTCTTCATGAGAGAGGTCTTGGGTTAGTAGCAGTGGAGAGGGCAGGGGAGACATTGGGGGTCTAATAGACTCCTGAGGTCTTCATGAAGAGGTCTTGGGTTAGTAGCAGTGGAGGGCAGGGGAGGCACTGGGGGTCTAATAGACTCCTGAGGTCTTCATGACGAGGTCTTGGGTTAGTAGCAGTGGAGGGCAGGGGAGACACTGGGGGTCTAATAGACCCCTGAGGTCTTCATGAGGAGGTCTTGGGTTAGTAGCAGTGGAGGGCAGGGGAGACACTGGGGGTCTAATAGACTCCTGAGGTCTTCATGAGGAGGTCTTGGTTAGTAGTAGCAGTGGAGGGCAGGGGAGACATTGGGGGTCTAATAGACCCCTGAGGTCTTCATGAAGAGGTCTTGGGTTAGTAGCAGTGGAGGGCAGGGGAGACACTGGGGGTCTAATAGACCCTGAGGTCTTCATGAGGAGGTCTTTGGTTAGTAGCAGTGGAGGGCAGGGGAGACACTGGGGGTCTAATAGACTCCTGAGGTCTTCATGAGGAGGTCTTGGATTAGTAGCAGTGGAGGGCAGGGGAGACATTGGGGGTCTAATAGACCCCTGAGGTCTTCATGAAGAGGTCTGGTCACCTGCTTGATACTATTGCATAGAGTACTTGTTAGCTCTCTTGGTATATAGTTACCCCCCCCCTACCCCCCCTCCCCCGCACATACAAACAAATGTAAATGAGCACACAAGCGTATGTAAGCAGCCATTGCATGGCACATCACGTCTGAGTGAGAGGAATAAGTCGAGGGCCATCATTCACAGGTTACTACACGTTATATAAACCTGATGACC